ACTGACCCTAAACCGTTTCTAAGAAAAGAAAAAGCCTAAGGAGTCGCCTCGACTGAGGGACTCGGCGAGAAGAGATGGGAAACACGGGCCCAAACCCTTAGTCGTTTCCGTGAAAAAGCCAAAAGGAGTCGCCTCAACTGTGGGACTCGGCGAGAAATTAAAGAAACAACGGGGCACTGACCCTAAACCGTTTCTAAGAAAAGAAAAAGCCTAAGGAGTCGCCTCGACTAAGGGATTTGGCGAGAAGAGATGGGAAACAAGGGCCCAGACCCTTAGTCGTTTCCGTGAAAAATCCAAAAGGAGTCGCCTCGACTGAGGGACTCGGCGAGAAATTAAAGAAACAACGGGGCACTGACCCTAAACCGTTTCTAAGAAAAGAAAAAGCCTAAGGAGTCGCCTCGACTGAGGGACTCGGCGAGAAGAGATGGGAAACAATGGCCCAGACCCTTAGTCGTTTCCGTGAAAAGGCCAAGAGGAGTCACCTCAACTAAGGGACTCGGCAGGGTATTAGACCGCTCCAAGTATCGAAAGAGAAGAGCCCGGATCACAGGAATTCAACAAAATGGAAGAATCCAAGGCCTTAAGTTATTTTTTTGGGGCTAAGATCAAAAAGAGATAAAAGTAGTCGGAAGAAGCAGAAAAGGAATTTCATTAATGAAGGACCCAAGAGGGGGGCCACCCCTTTCAAAAGAGGGCTACCAAAAGGAAAACCCTAAACTACGGGGGAGGGGGTGTCGACCTCAACTCCATCGACCCGAGTTTCCGCCGTTGGTCCAGCTGGAAGAGCAGGTGAGGGGTCTTCTGCTTGGGAAGACGGCTCCTTATGCTCAGAAGGTCCCGCCACAAGAAGAGCTGCCGGATCCGCAGTCGACACGGGCTCATCAATCGCCGGCAGAGGATCCAGTACTGGCTTGAGGCCCCAGCCCTTGGGGGTAAAGGCGGAGTCGCGGGCCACTAGGACAACATGAATTTTCATTTGGGCCTCGCGAAAACCCAGACGATAGTCGCGCTCGCCGAAGTCCAGGAGATAATCATCTCCTTCCGGCGTCGCCAGCCACTCCTTGGCGATCTCCTTTTGTCGAGCCACCACCGCCGCCTTCACATCCGCTTCAAAGGCCGCCAACTTCTTGTAATGCTCCACTGAAGTTGTGGCAATCGTCGCGACCTTGTCCCGCTCCTCCTCCCATTGACGAGTGACCCTCAAAAGCTCAGAGGTGTGCACCTCCACCGATCTGGCATGCACAGCCTGCTCTTCCTGACGGGCCTCCTCTGTTTGGCGCAGGCGAGTGGTAAGAGATTGCAGTGCAGCCTTGTACCTCCTCAGTCGTTTACGCAGCTCCATCTGGAAGGTGAGATTCTGCAAGACAGGAAAAGTTAGATGAAGAAAAGGAAAAAGAAGAAGCAAGGATTCGGAACACTTACGCGGTACGACTGGCGGAGTGAAGCCTCTAGGATGTACTCATCCTGCAGCGAGCTGGTCATCTCCACGTCCTTAGGCAGAAGGACGTGGTCGGCCCAAGTCCGGACAGAAGAGCTGCCCTGCCAGATCTGGGCATTCTCATCCAACTCGATGCCTAACCGGATCCTCTTCGTAGCCAGCGCGTCCGACTGCTCTACCGACCGTTAGAGCTCGGGCTCTCAGAAGAAGGCGGAGGCGGCTGCCTGGAAGGCGAAGCGACCGGAGACGGCGTCAAGTCCACCACAGTTCGTGGTGGTGGTGGAGTCGACCTCGAGGTCAGAGAGGGAAGCGATGAAGAGGCGGCGGCGGCGCCCGAGGTGTGTTGAGATAACCGCCGCCTCATTTTTTTAGCACGATCGGCCATTTCCGGAGTCGGAGCCTTGGCTTCGTCCGAGCTGGTAGAATCGGAGTCGTAAGGACCTGCGAAAAGAAAAAAAAGACAAGTGTTAGCAGTCGGATTGTACGGGGACAAAAAAGGAAAAAGTCAAGGGAGAACTACCTAAGGTGGCTGCACCGGCTGGCAGTAGGCCCAATTTTGCCATAGCTCGAACCCGAGACTAGTACTTAACGGAGTAAGGTCCCCAACTCTTCAAGAACTCGCCATCCTGGACCGCATCCTGGGTAAAGACAGCGCGTCGAGGGCAGGGCTTGAACAAAGCAGCCAGCCACAGAGTAGGAAAGGTGAAAGGAGTGGAGGCAGGACGAACAAAAAAGAAATAGGGCTTCCAGTCCTTAATGGAATCTGGAAGACCCTCAAAAAGTTGACGCCCCGGGCGGGCGGCAACCTGGACAATGCCCGGCGAGTGCGAACCGATTTTGTTCACAGTGAACAAATACCGGAAGAGGTCTAGATCTGGTTCGCAAAGCCACCAGTGGCATAGGTTGATAAAGTAAGAGAGGAGACGATGAGAGTTGGGCACTAACTGACCCGGAATGAGGTTATAATGGCGGTAGAAAAGGGAGAGAAATAGACACGGAGGCACTCGGAAACCAAAGGCGACCGAATGCAAGTGAATACCCACACAACCCTCCGGTGGGTCAAAAATGTGCCGGCCTTCTGGAGCAAAAACAAGGGTCGAAGGCCCTAGAACGAAGCGGGCCATGTCTAGGTCCGCCGCAGAAATCTGCGTCGGAAGCCCCGCCGGCCCGACGATAGGGTCAAACTTGCCTCACGGCCGTCCGGGGCCATCAGGAAGAGCCGCCACCGTCGTAAGAGGGGCTGGGCTCAGAGGAGTAGCGCCCTCGAAGAAGAGGGGGTCGGTTGAGATGGAGACGCCGATGGGAAACCTGACGGAATCTCCATACGGTGAGGACTAGAAGAAGAAGAGGAAGACGAGGACGTCGACGCGAGGGTTCCCGCCGAGCGACGGGAAGAAGAAGAGTTAGAGGAGGAAGACATTATACCGACCTGAGGATTCGAACGGAGAGAAAACGCAGGGAGAGTCTGAAAGCCTTGAGAATTTTTTTGAAGATTTGAAGAAAGTAGGAGGAAGAAGGAAGAAGAAGGGTATTTAAAAGGGGGAGAATCCCAAAGGGCGGCCACGTGTCACCCTCTCATTGCGGAAGAGAGGGGTGACAAGAGGTGAAGGGACACCGCATTTAATGCCTGGGAAACCGTGGTAACGGTTCAGTCCTAGGGCTAGCCTGCAAACGACGCGTCTACCCTTGGCTAGAACCGGGTAGCAGTGACCCGGCCTGGTAACCGGGGGCCAAGTATAGGCTCTGGCCTCTGGGCCCCCCGAATCTGGGTCAGAAGCTTCCAGAAGAATCCGGCAAAACTCGGCCCGTCAGTTGGCGTAACGTTTGTAAAAAGATCCAGGGCCAGGAGTCGAACAATTGGGTTTTGGCGACTCCTAAACGAGAACGACCCCGGTCGGGAAAACCAGGAGTCGACTAACGAATTCGACTAACGAATATACAAAGATGAGGAAAAACATTACAAGCAGACAAAAGGACAAACAGTTTATTTGAAAAACAGCAAAGGCCTAAGACTCGGTCAAATACAAAGTACAAAGGAAAAAAAGGATCATGGCTTGGCTTCCTCCTCCTCTGCCGGACGAGCAGGGGGGACCCTCCAAGAAGTGCTGAGGGCGGAAAGGTGGAGGACTCGGCTCAGGATCCAGCACCTCGTCCAGATCCACGGCTGACTTCCCATCATCAATCATCTACAAAGGCCTCTCCAAGGCACTCAGAGACATGGCTACGCCAAAAAGAGGAGGAACCTCCCACACCTCCTCCTCCTCCGGGCCCGGGTCGTCCACCACTGGTTCCACCTTGTTATCAGCCGGCTCCACGGGGACCAGATCCAACATATTTGGGGACACCACGATGGGATCAGAGCTTGAGTCGCCCACCAGATGTCCACCGCTGGCCAGCCTCTTCTGCCTTAGCTCTTCCAGGCGAGCATGCTCCTTGTTGCGAATGGAGAAGCGACGATCGCTGACTCTGTAGCTCATGATCAAAGGTCTATAAACGGAAGTGGTATGGGTCACCAGCATAAGAGGCCTTTATATAGCTTCAGAAGGGCGAATACCTAGGAGAAAATCACGGAGCTGATAAGAACTGCCATAATCAGGCCAGATTAGACGGGAGGCAAGAATCTTTGTCAGGGGGTAGTTCCATCAAATCCGCTCGAGAAGAGTGAGATTCGCACGTTGAACTGAAAAAGATAGATTCACCAAAGATATGGGGAATATTGCAGGCATCAGACTGAAAAGGGCCTGACAACGTGGCCGACTCCCAGACCAATCGGCCGGAAGAGTAGGATGGGTGCCAAAAAGAATTAAGAAACAAAGCCCTCCAAGATAAGAGCGTAATTTTATTTATAAAAGAGGGAAAATACACAAAATAAGGAGCTTATTACATCACAAATAAATAAGAAATGCTCTTATGTAGCCCCCCCACCCCCCGGAAATACGGAAACAAATCTTGGCCGAGGCCGTCACTCGCCGGCAGAAGAAGAATCGCTCCCAAAGAACGTCTCCCCCGATGGTCTAGTGGGAGATGGACAGAAGGTATCCCAAAATGCCGGCATGATTGGTGGCACCACCGGCTCCTCATCATCCGGGTACATTTCCAAATACCGAGCAAAATCGACATCAGTCATCAGGTCCATAGCCGGCCCATCCAGGTCGTCAAGAGGAATGGAAAAGGTCATGCGAAAAGTCAACTGCTCTAGGACGGCCACCTCCACGAAGGACCCGTCCTGAGCAGTAACCCTAGCAGTGGCCGGGGGCGGCGGATTGATTGAAGTCGGAACATTCTCCGTACGAGTAAGGGTCGGCGGCTGTTGAACAGAGGAAGTAGCGCCGGTGGGAGACCTCTGAGAAACCGGTCGAGGAGCCTTCTTCTTGTTTTCTCTCTCGGGTCGGGTTCGCTTGGAAGGTAGAGAGCGTCGAGGCGAGCCGAAGTCGATCCGCTTTCCCTTCAAAGGCGAGCGACCCATAGCTGATCAGTGAGGTGCAGATAAGAGAACAAGAGGCTATTTATAGGAGCCATCCGGAGCTAGGAGAATCCGAACAGCTTCATTAAATCCGGGAAGATGGCGGAGGATCAGGGCTTTACCAGGTTCATTCAATACAGAGATTCGAGGATTAAGAAGGCAATCGGTTACTACTTTCCCACACCCGGATTAGTGGACCGAGTATGGAAAAGTGAGGGACTAGTTGATGGGGTGAAGACCCCGGCCCAAGAAGATGGGCCCAAGAGAGGAGTCTAAGATAGGAGATTGGGGCCAATAGCAAAAGAAGCCCAGTGAAAGCTTGGGCCGAGTCCAGGAGTCGGCCCAGGCCCGAGCATAAAGAGGACCCGGTCCAGAAAGCCGTTGAAGGATGTCCAACGTAGCATTTAAGTCGGTCCAGGAGCCGTTGGGGTATTCAAAGCAGGCATCCCGTAAGACTCGGCCAAGCAGGATGTTTAAAAGACCAAAGAGTCGTTGGACGACCCGGTAAACGGCGCCCAACGGCCTTATAATTGTAATTAGCCTTGAAAGCAGCAGTTAATGTCCTTCAATTCGGATGGAAGGGGGCCTACTATATAAAGGCCCCTCCACTCTTGTAAAGGGTAGGCGAGTCCATGCCCAGTGAATAAGAAACACACACTCTAGCTATTATTTCGACTACTCTTCCTTTGTTGAAAAACTTTGTGAAAGGTGAATCCACCAACCAAGGTTGTGTTGGACCTCCCTGAGCCCGAAAACCAAAAACCAACATATATAACATATATATATATATATATATATATATATATATATATATATATATATATATATATATATATATATATATATATATATATATTGTTTGTCCAGGTAGGGTCGAAAGAGAGTCTAGAGGGGGGGTGGGGTGGGTGAATAGACTCTAATCAATTTTTCAAAGATGCTCCTTTCGGAGTAATGCTCAGCGGAATGGAGTTTTCATCTTAGACCTTGCTTTGCACACTTTCGTTAGAAACTTTTTTCGTTTGGTCGATATGATATGCAATGCACGAAAGCAATAAAGCAGTAATTAAAGAGATATGGAGAGAGAGATTTTTTAGTGGTTCGGCTGTTAACGAAGCCTACTCCACTCTTCTTTCACAACTCGTGAAAGCGTTTGCACTATCACTCTTAGTACAAACTACTTCAAGCTGGCTTCCTTGATCACTAAGCTGGACAGCCACTTGATGTGTTTTTCAACTCCTCGAGTTTACTCCGCCTCTATCAACTTCTTCCTAATAGTTGAGATGTTGGAAAGATAATCTTGTGTTTCTCTAACAGATTGAAGTCTTGTCTTGATATCTGGATGAATCTTCACTTGAAAGTATGCAATACTTTTTTCAAATTGTGAAGAGTGGAAAATGAATGATCCTTTGAAAACTTCACAAAACACTGGTTATGAAAAGCTTTAAGAGATGCAACTGTTTGAAGAGCTTTTCTTTGGATAGTAAGAGTTGAACAACTAGCACCTTCTTCAATGGTGAAGAAAGGTATTTATAGGTGGAAAAATTTATCCGTTAGAGGGAGATGAAGATTTCAAACCTAATATCCAGTGTGTACTAACCAGTGGACATCAAGCATTTAATGCACTTGTACTGTGTAGCCATTGGAGCCAAAAATATTATGGCTTTTGTCTCTGTTTTCTGACAAGATGGTATAAGTCTTTTAATGCTCATTGTCTTTTGTGAAAATCATTATATTCCTAGGACACCTTTTGTCCGAATGATTTCCCATTCGAGAGACAACATTCTTCTTGCTTCACTTAATGAAGGTTGTCTTTACAAGTCTGTCTTGACTTGTTTGCTCAGAGATGTTCGTCGAAAGATTGACCTTATCTTTCGACCTTTCTCTTTGACGAGAGATCCTCTTTGTCAAATGATGGTTCATCCGAAAGATCGTCCTTATATCTTTCGTCTTCAGTGATCTTTCGTCCTTCTTTCTATCTTCATGTCTTCAGGTAGACCTAGCTATTTTGCTAACCTCAACAAGATTCATTCGTTGAGTTACAACAACTTTCAATTGTAATAGAAATCCTATCTATAGAAAAGAAAAATAGGGGTCTACAATCTTAGTGAGTTTGGTATCATCAAAATCTAATTACACTTGTTTCTAAAAACTTAAAACAGACAAAAAAAAATGAGTATGAAATTTGTCTTTATTTCTTACGCAAGAAATGTAAATTCAATTTTTTTTTTTATATTCATTTACGAGTACCAAATGTGTCGTTACGTTAATGCATCACATTTCTTACCCATACTTTCCTCTTCATTCTCACATATTTTTAAATATTTATAAAATTTATTTTTCTTGTGTGGTTTGCAAACTATAACACAATAGTGAAGTTTACCTAGTATACACACACTCGAATAATGAATGTAGAATTCTCGTCACAGAACAAAAGTATTTCTTACATTTGTACCTTCATTTTAGAAGTGTGTTAAATGGATGCGCGGGTTAGCTCAAAATCCAGTCTAGGCCCAACCAATTTGGGTCGGCTCAATTCATTTGCAATAATTGGCGGACTAAGGTCTAATTATTGTTTTGCGTATAGTTTGATGATTTATTTGATCATTTTTCCACAATAGTTTGTTGCAAATAAAGAAATTGGTTAAATTAAAGAAAAATTGACAATAAATATTCTGTATCTACCCATTTCTATTTTAATTTAAATTTGTAAAAGAATCACATAGGCGCGATGTACATCATGTACTATCATAGAAACAAGAAAGTATATAATTAACCATGAAGAAAATGTTTACAAATTCAAATACATTATCACTAGGTCTAGTGATAGAAATGTTTGTGGTGAATAAGTTGATTTACTAAAATAATATATATATATATATATATATATATATATATATATATATATATATATATATATATAAACGAAAAAAATAAGGATTTCAAAATCTGAAATTTAAACCCAACGAGAGAAACGAGGAGGAGAAATGTGAGTCGTGTGTAAAACACACTTGCCTTAAAATTGATTCGCTACATTCTGAGGGTGCTAGGAGCAATATGGCGTCAATATCTTAAGATAAAATGGATAACGGACTTTAGTGTTTGCGCATTCAAACATAAAGTCCAGTAAACTAGAACAAAGATCAAGCACTCCGTACAATTTACGGAAATGTAGGCAGAACTTTTTCGTAAGAAAAAATTTGAGAAGGAAAGAGAAAAATCACATATTTTGAGAGTTCAAAACTAGCAGCCCAAACATCTGCCAACAACAAAGCTATTTGTAAGAGATGATGGAATTAATAGCATTAAACCTGACACTTACATATGAAATAAATCAGATATGTAATCCCCATAACGTACAACTTTAATATGAAATTTGTATCTCACATATATTTATACCACAAAATAGCACTTACATGCCATTTTTTAAGCTAAAAATTCAAATAAGATATTCGACTGCGTCTCCATTATTGATAAGTGTCAAATTTGTATAACTTGTTGGACTAAAGTTTCATTACAATTATAACTCTGTTATATCCCTTATTACTACTACTATCTACAATATGTTTTTTCTATTACTCAATTATCATGTTATGAAAATAATTATATTTTAATTAATTAAATTTTGCAGATTATATTTTAATTAAATAATTATGGCCGTTAAATCATATATGTGTGTATAATTTGGGGAATGTGGTTGAGTGGAATGAACCCATTCATCTTTTATCCAAATGCCAAAGGATCAATCATTGGTTTTGAGAATGGAGGCAAATTATATCGTGCACCACGATGCATAATCAATTATGCACCACGCATCAAAACGACGTCGTTTTATTTAATGAAAATAAACGGAATCCGTTTCGCGCCGTTCCGCACCGTTTCGCACGCAAAAAATAACTCTGTTCTTCAGTTTCATTTTGTATACGCTGCAGTTTCAATTCAACACAACTACAGTTTCAGTTCGATGTAACTACAGTTTCATTCAATATTTATACACTCAAATATGTGAAAATGTTATTTAATTTTATTTTCTATACACTATAGTTTCATTAAAACACAACTACATAATCATTTCAATATAATTACAGCTTCATTGTACAATATACATTCAAATATGTGAAATGTTATTCAGTTTCATTTTATATATACTACAGTTTCATTTCACCACAATTACAGTATCATTTTGATATAACTGCAGTTTCATTTGATAATATAAAAATAATACGTGAGATAGTGTCGGTTTAGATACACTGTAGTGTCACTCCGTTAACACTAACTGCAGTTTCTTTACTTAAAGAAACTGTACTGTTCTGATGCGCGGTGCATAATCGATTATGCACCGCGGTCCACGATATAACGACTGGAGAATGGAGGCATGGAGCAGCTTTAAAATTCCAGGGCTACGTCACACTCTTATGGCCCGTTTGGTTCACGGAATAGGCCGGTATTGGCATAGCATTCCCAGTAATAGGCCTATTCCTTTGTTTGGTAACCGTTTTTATTACCAGGAATAATATTCTTAGTAATAGCACATTCCCCCAAACATGGTAATAGCTATTACCTGACCCCGCCCCCCTCCCCCTCCCCCGGTTTTAACCTATTCCTGAGTCCTCAGGAATAGATTTTTTATTTTATTTTCAATTTTACCCTTTTTGCTTAACCTATCTTTCTCTCGTTCTCTCTCTACGGTTCCTTTGGCATCTGCGATTCCTTTTACCATTTGTGATTCCTTCCGCATCTGCATCAGTCTTTACGATTCCTTTCATCATCTGCATCAATCTTTGCAATTCCTTCCGCCATCTGCATCAATCTCTGCAATTCCTTCTACCAACTGCATCAAATTAAAGCTTTAAACAAAACAATTTTTCTGAATTTTATTTTCTACAAATTAATTATACATTTAATTGTACAAATAATATATATATATATATATATATATATATATATATATATATATATATATATATATATATATATATATATATCCCTCGTGTTTAATTGTCATCGTTGAGTTTGGAACCCAGAACAGACTGCCGGTGATAAGCCGGAGGAAGGTGAGGATGACGTCAAGTCATCATGCCCCTTATGCCCTGGGCGACACACGTGCTACAATGGCTGGGACAAAGGG